ATAATGCCACACAAACAAGAAGAATTAGCAGATAATCATATTCAATAAGATGAATGCAGAGAAGATTTCCAACCAGATGACACCTTGTAAAACCAATCTTTCTGAAGGCAACATAGAAGAACTAAAAACATCAAGCAAATGGACAGGAAAAGTGTACTGACTTGGATTAAAGTTTTGAATTAGTTACAGATATAATATTGTACCTTTACATAACTATCTTTACCTTAGTCACATTGGGATGATCAAGCTGATGCCAAACTGAGACTTCCTGAGAGAAGGCTGCCCGCAGTGCCGCAACTTCAGCTTCCGTTCTGTTTCCCTCTTCGCCCCAGTCTAGCAACTTCACTGAGAGCAGTAAAAAAGATATCCTTTAACAACTAGCAAAAGAAGTGCAGCATACACGCTGAATGTGTAATCGTCTTCAAATCCATGGTCAACATGCAAAACTCAAAAAAAAAAAAACCTTGCATCAAAACAAATGAGCAAGAGGGATGTGGTTTCCGGTGCTCACTCAGGTAAACCCCAGAGAATGATTCTGAAGCAAAACACAACTTTTATTAGTCTGTTTTACATATTTAAGTGCCTGCTAATGCTGAAACAGATGAACTACCATGCATCAAAACCACACAATGTCAAACTCAATCACCCCAGAGTGCATAGCATATCAACCATTTCTTGTCATCATTTGTCAGTGCTACAGCTTTCTGTTCTGCTTTAGATATCACAAGACCAACACCCACGTCAAACCAGTAATAGTTGTTTAGTTCGGTTCACATGAAGTACAAGGGAGAAAACAACTGATGCAACAAGTGTCACGGAAAACACTCCACCCAACATGTGAAGTCACAGGCAGGTTTGTGGCTACATCAATGAACAATAGCCCTTATAAGCCCAACCGGGGCGTACCAAACCCCAAAAGGTGAAGCATATCACCCGGCAAACACAAGAGCAGAGACGTAAACAGAAAGATCATGGTATCACAAATGGAAATTTGCATTTGAATCTTCTCCAAACTGATGACGAGACAAGTAGGCATACTTTTCCCCTTCATTTCCATCACTACGTAAAGGAACAAGCAGAGTCTGTGCATCGTAGAAAATACGAACAGATTCAGCAGGAGACGGAGAGAAAGGGCATAAGTCTAAACGGATTCCACAGAAAAAAAATAAAAACAAATAATCTAGAAAAAAAAAGGGAATTCTTCGAAAGATGATGAAGCACTTCGAAGCAATTGAATTCGGTAGATTCGACGCAAGACAAAGAGGGGATGTCTCGAAGAGTTCGAAGGAAATCACGAAACGAGAAAAATCGATGGAGCTAAAAGCCCTAATCGATCGCCAAAAAGATCAATTTTCGGCAGTAAAACGCAAGCATTATTGGACAGAGAAGACCGAATATGCATCGGAATTCCTCCTCTCTCTCCCTCTCTCTTTTTACCGGCGACGTCCTGGCCGTCGTAGACCCCACGGTGGACGGTGCCGAAGGTGCCCCTGGCGATTACCCCCTTGATGAGCAGCTTCGATGGGTCGATCTCCCACTCCTCCCTCCGCCTCTCCCTCCTCTCCTCCTCCTTCCTCTTCTCCATCGTCCATGCCCGGCTGAGGTGCCGCTCCAGTTGCTCGTCCAAGCTCTTCAGATCGATCTGGTCCGCCCTCACGAACCCATCTCCGCCCCCTTCCTTCATCCCTCTCTCCCCTCACTCACACCTTTGCCGCCTCTAAGGCTACCACGCAAAGCCAAAAATATGGGATCTTTATAAGCTTCTCTTCTCTTCTACTCTCACCTCCTCCTCTACTGCATCTTCTCCTCTCCCCATGCCACCCACTTGTATAGGCTACTTCCTCTTCTTTCCATAAAGACTTTCTTCTTTCTTCGTCTCCCCTCTTGTTACTCTCTCTGTGTTTGTCTCACACACACACCACACACACTTTCTCTCTCTATGTTTCCATTTGTGCACATGGGTTGCCTCTCTCTCTCTCTCTCTCTCTCTCTCTCTCTCTCCCCCCAATCAAAGCCTGTTTTATATATTTCCCACCTTTCTATCTATTATCAAGAGTCCATGATCACAAAAGACATCCAAATCTTCTTCTTCTGCAGTATTTTTAGACTTCCTTCACGGCTCTCCTTTGACTCCAGACTTACATCCACCTTCCGTGCCTCGTTTTATCTGAGACATTGACCGTCCTGCCTTATGTTAGCATGCATGTGTGGTGGACTTTGTCATTGCGTTTGGACTCGAGACTAGTGAAATGATCAGCCAAACGAAAACCATATCTATGCGTTGACTCTACTGTTCTTCATGATTCATACAAGCCTTTATTCTTATTTCTCTTTTGTGAGCCAAACTAATTTTAGTGAGTATCATTGTATGCCATCATCCCCACAAGAAATGGAAGATCACATACATGTCCGCTATAATGACGGCCCCGGTGAAGATTCCATGTACAGTGAATTAGAACCTTGCATTTATAAGTAGTCAAAGATATCTATCATGTATGATTCCACATTCAGGCACCTTGATCGACCATTAATGATGCGAAGATTTCTACAAGGATTTGGGAGAAAGATTTAAGTTAAGAAAGACATCAAATCAGAATCCCTTAATCTGTACCCTTTTCGAGTGCATGGTTGAAGGGGTTATATGTAGAGGATGATTCCGAGACCACTTTGGACATCTTCATTCCAAAAAAATGCAGCAGCAGCAGCAAAGACCGATCGTGTCACATTTACCTATGTAGTCAACCATTAATAGTCGATCGACGTCTGCGTGAATCACATTTATATTTTTAGACTGTTACGTTTGGAAACATATTTATATATTTTTTTGGAAATATATTCATCTATTTTGAGAACAGATTAATACATCACTATATATATATTAAAATTTTAAATGCATAATTTCAAATATTGTGTGCCATTTTTAGTTAGCAACATTAAATTTTCCTCCGATCCATCGAACGTGAATATATTGTGAAAATATATTACTGATTTGCAATTATGTTTATAATATTATGATAGATAAGCTATTTATGCACGAAACTATTAGAGTCCGTTGACGAGTTCTTCTCGAAGCAGTTCGGGCTGGAAAATATATGTGGGCTCAATCGTCCATCTTGTAAACTGGGCCTCCGAGACATAACCGGGCCGGTTCCAGGATCGCCGCCGCCAGCCGCCAGCCGCCCACCGGGAACACGTGAGGAAGCGCCGTCGATTTGATGTCCCGATTCCCGGGGTAGCGACGAAGAAGATGCAGGGGAATCCGC